AGCCTTGCTCTCCAGTTCCTCCTGGCAGTTCAGGTTTCAGGAGGCTACAATGAAGGGATGGACAAAATTCAAGTTACAATAAAAGCAATGCAGAATGCCCAGGCCAGGGTTTACAGCTCAAGTCAGATTCAGAAGGTGCAACTGTAGACAGTGGCATGTATCTTTTTGCACAAGGCTAACAGCACCTGGAGCCAAATATTTCCAGAATCACCACACCCTCTCACTATCCCTGTAATCACCCTTGCTCACACAGGACCCTCTGCCCTAAGTTTGCTCCGTCATTCCTACTGCCACATCTTTAGTCAGTGCTTTCTTTGCATTTCCACCAGAAGGTGGCATTATTAAACTCCATTGGACCTGAAAGTCATTCATGGTGAAAGCAGGGCACCCCAGCCAAGCTAGTGGAGTCGCAGCAAGTACAGAGTGTAAAAAATATGTTTATGAAAAGTAAGAAAAAATTAGTCACTACATTGTGCTGATGGAAGAAACATCAATTTCTCTGAGGTTTTAGTTATCTGCTTGTGAGCAAATGAAAGTCTGTGGATGTAAATTAACTATAGGCAGTTTTACCAACAATTCACAAAGCACATCAGAATATCCTGTGAAGCACAAAGATGACAGAGATGCTCCAATGAAAACCTTTTGTTGTGCCTGTCACAGTGTTATTTTGGTGTCCTGAGTGGTTTCCCTTGCTATTAAAAGTGAACTGAATACTGTAAAAGCTGGCTGTACAGACTGTCTTGAACAGGCCTTGCAGTGAAACAGCTTTTCCATGGGATAACAGAGTCCCTGGGCCTTAGCAAACATGGAAAGATTAGTAACCAGCAAGATCAAGTGTTAGTTCTTTCTCACTCTCGATCCTCTGCAAATACTTTAGTTTTTTAATTAGCCTCTTTTATATTACATCTGCCAGGGAAGGAATATGTCAGGAGAGACTTTGAAGATGTAGATGCTTAGGACAAGGCCAGTCATTTAATAAACTTTTAGAAGCTACCAGCAACTGAAGTGCTTGAGACTTGGGGGCACCACCACAAAGCACAAAGAACACAAAGCCTTTACACCACACTGTCATCCTTCCTCTGTATCTAAACTCATCACAATAAACACAAAAGTGGCCTGAAAACACTTCTGCTTTCACCACTGCCTTGAGGTGGTTTTTTTTGGGTTTTTTTTTGTTGTTGTTTTTTTGTTGTTTTTTTTTTTTCCTCCCAGAAAGACCAGCCTTTAAGAGGACTTCATAGTGATGCATAGGTGATGGCTGGGATATTTAGAAAAAAAAAAATCAATCTCAGGTATCAACTGCTCTTCAGAGTGGAAACAGCCCAGACTTCTTAACTTTCTGTAGAAACTGCTTGGGGACATTTAACAGATCACTGAACGTGACAAAGAAAGCTCCCTACTGTGCTATTTCACATTTAAGAAGAATAAACTCATCATCCCTAAAGGTAGCCCCTGATGTTTTTTGCATCAGTGATTTTTATTTTAAGTAAAATTCAGCATACAAAATGACTATTTCTGTCATGTTTGAGGTAAGAAGTTTCAGTCCTTTTTTTTTAAATGAGGAGTTCTGTCTATAGCAGCTTTGCAAGCACAGCATGTAGAAAGCAAATTAGGCTGAGGAAAAGGATGACTGACATTGTTTACAGAATCACCAGTGGATAGAAACAGTAGAATGCACGGAACTGGTCCACTGAAAGAAAAAAATTAGGGGAATTGCAGCTTAGCATTGAACAAGGAAAATATGTTTTTGGCTTAAATAATTTCCTTGTCAGCACAAACAGCTATCTTAGCCAAAGGGAATTCATGCAATCAAAAAGATTGAAATAAATTGTGAGTGAATCACCTGAGAGACAACAACAGTGGTGGTCTCTAAAACTAGGAAATTATTTACTTCCTTTTTAAAGTTCTCTTTCAGATTGCTCTGTTTTGCTGTAGGGAATTTGGAATACATTAAGAAGTTACAAAGAAAGGAACTGTACAATGAACTGGTAGTACAAACACTTTACTAACAAGGAAGAATGGGAGCTACAGATGTGCACACTATGATCTAAATTCACCTGAACTGCAAAAGAAGAACCCCACAAAGCCAGACAACGCATAAGGGAGCTGGCTGCCTGATGGAGAGAATGGTTTGATGAGAAAGGTAAATGTTTGTCCATCTGTGACTTTGGCAGCCTGGATCCACACAATCAATCATAATACTAATTCTTGCATTAGTTGTCCCTTTTTTTTTTTTATTGTCATCTGCTTCTCTTGTGGGCCAGCCTCTTCCAAATGAGGACTTGTCTGAATAATCTGTCCCTGGCCAGCGCTGAGATTGGACAGAATGGATGGTGCACTGGCATATCAGTGGTAAGTATCTAGTTAGTGGGTTAGGTTAATGTCTGTCTCCAGTTCTTCCTTGGGCAAAACTCCTATGCCTCCTGTTAAACGGCAAATTAATGATAAGACTTCCCATAAAAAATGGGAGGGGCTGAAATAATCTTCTGGTGAAAAACAAAGTTTTTATGGTATGGGTTGTTCCACATTTTGCTTTTATTAAGTTCCTTCCTTTTGCACTTAATGTGCTCCCCCTACACACACCATCACTTATAAAAGGTTAATCTCCTTCCAGTCACGCCAGTCAGGTTTGATCCACCCTGTGATTTATTTGGTCAGTGTTACATATCTTGATACCATTTAGTAAAGAGGTAAAATGACCTCTACTTCTCTTCCCCTGCAAAATATTTAGTTTTACAGAAACATCACTGAGAACGCTTTCCCTTTTCCTCAGTCTTGCCATCTCCTGCCATTCTCCTTTCTTAGTCTCTGCCAGGTTCTCCAAAAAGCATCTGAAAAAGACCAGCTGCCATGTGTTACAAGGGACCTCAGAGCTCCCCTGCTGGAGACTCAGTCCCTTCCACTCTTTTTTCTTTCGAAGCAGTTGCAGGACCTGCACTCATAACACATTTCCTCTATTTTCTGCATCGTCTCATTTGCTCAGAGATTTTTTTTTTTTTTCCTGTCTTCTCTCCAGTTTTCCTTGAAGGCTCTCCCAGGGACTCTGTTCATTGGTAATACATCAGAAGGTATTTCAAGATTCATTCACATCCTCTTGATTTCCACAAACTGGTAGATATATTTTTTAATCTTCATTTTCTGGAGTTCACACATCATAAGTTTTCAGCATCTGTAACTGCAACAATTTTTCTCTTTTTTTGTGGCTGAACATTCCTCTTTCTACAGAAACATTCTTGCTCAGTTTCCTTCTAAAGACAGCCCTTCCCATGGGGCAATTTAGCATGAAGTGAGTTGGTATTACGGCAAGTGCATTTGCTACTCAAAGCCTTCCAAAGAAGGACTGGGCAAAAGGCACTGTGCCAGGTAGGGGCTTTCTTCAAACTAGTGCCATATGGATCATTCTAAACTGGAATTCACACGGCTACAGACCTTTTCCTTGCTGACAGTATGCCTGAAAGATCAGAAGCCTATCTGAAGTGCAGCCTGTGTGCTAAGGACAGGTCTCAAAAGACTGCTGATGACGGTCAACACCTCTTGCAAAATGTTGCTGCTGATGGGAAATCATTCCTAACCAAACAGAGTTCTTACAGGATCAAAGAGATTTAATATCTTGATTCAGTTCTATTCACCTCTTCATCTGGAAATCAAGAAAAATCATCACTGATGAAATTAAAAGAAGATATCTAGTTTGATAGAGCTGAAAATAATGAGTGGGGAAAGATAAGCATGCAGATGCATGGTGATTTATTGAAGAGAAAAAATTTACAGCCAGAACTAAGAAACATCAGTGCCTAAGAGAGCATTGTAAAGAGCAAGAGGTGTTTTTTTTCCTGAAAAGCACGTACTCTAAGAAAGATTTTCTGTCACAGTTATTGTGGCTGAAGAGCTGAACTTCTGGCTCTAGTGCAACAATAAGTCAAAGAAAAGATTAAGGACATCCTAACAGAGGCAAAAGAACAGCAAGAGGAACATTTGGTTTCTGTGAGCAGAGCTGATGAAATGAGTACAACAGTGTTGTCTGCTTATCTGATATGCACATCAGACTTTAAGGACTGATAGTAAACTGAAGAAAAAATGTAAGTGATCTGCAGAGCAATAACCTGCACAGGAGGAACACCTCCCAGAGACCAATTTAAAAATCTACAGACTCAGCTTGTGAAAGATGACTGACAACGTCCCTCCCATACAATTGCTTTATTCTGGCAAAACCTGAAACCAGTAGATCCTGCATCTCATGCTTCAGGCTTTTCACATCACATTCACATCAAACTTTTCAGCCAAACAGAAGTTATTGGGCAGTGTAACAGTGGTCAGAGGCATATGAGATAGCAGCAAAAGGCATAACTGAACAAAAGCTATACCTGCGTCTGGAATAACACCAGAGAGCAAACAAGAAAACATATAATCTCTTGTGGACAGAGATGTCTAATTCTTCCTACTCTCACTACCACCTTCTGTAGATTTCTTGTTTCTGCTTCTCATTGTGTATTTTCAGTTTCTGCTGATCACAAGAAAGCAGTCTCCCCATTGAGAAATGGCTCATACTTTTGCTTCGCTGGCCTTTTCTGGGAAACAGAAGAGACCAGCACCTGCCAGCTGCCAGCACAGCTGTTCTGCTGGCAGGACTCACAACCATCCTGCTTGACTACCATATATCCCCTGTGCTCTCTTCTCCCTTCTCAGGATCCCCCAAAAGACAAATAAGGCCCATCTCACTCTCAAGAGAAATTCATAGAAGCTGCTGAGTTTCCTGGTGTGACAGAGAGTCTCAGTAAACCTCAGCACTTGGCACGCTCTGCCCTTAGACCACACACGTGTGCACATCCCACTTCTTATTCAGTATTCTGACCACTGATACATTTTATCCTGGGCAGTGGTAGGATGTAGATTTGCTGTATATAAAGCCTGCAAACAGAAAACATTAAGCAAAAAGGTAGTGTGAATTAACATGCCTTCATTTCTAATTTTAGTAAGATAAGTAAGATTTAGGAAGATCGAGCAATAGTGATTAAAAGGAGCCTTCCCTACACGATCTATACAGCTTTTCTCTTCTGCAATTATATAATGCAACTTGCAAAATCAGTTATCTGTCAGACGAGGACTAGAAACACACTTCCCACACACCCACCAAGTGCCTGCCCCCTCTCTGCTCTCTACAGACGATTCTTTGATTTTTTTTTCTGAGATTAAGAAGAGAAGAAGGTTTAAGTTGAATGGGAGCTGAGTGACATCTATGCTTAGTGATATCAGTTTTAATGATTGTTGGATGAGATGAAAATGCATTAACTCAGTAATCAGCCTCCCAGTGGAAACTGGGGGTTTTTTTTAAAACATTATAAGATGTGTTTAATTCTATTTCTGACTTAAAAGGACTATCTCTGATGAGCACTGAGGAGAGAACTACTTGTGATACAAGTCTAAGGAAGTCAAACTTCCGCTAAGAGACACAGCTACCTAGTGGTATCTGCTTTTTACATCTGGCGAATATTGCTGTGTGGGCAGCACCTCCCTGGCAGAGCAACCTGAAGAGGAGCAAGAGATTCTGCACCCTTAGAGCAAAGAAGATTCTTCACATCATCTGAGAAGAAGGGAGGAGAAAAGGTAAAATTCATAAAAATGTAATGATATGTTACACATGATATGTGTGAATGTAATGCTTTTTCAGTTACCTTTTATAGTTGCTCAGGTAATTTTTCTAAGCAGTTTTAAGAATTATTGCATCATCAGAAGTGGGTGTATTCTGTGAGTGCATGTTTTTAAGTATTCAAAGATATGCTGAACCCAGATTAAATTCAGGTATGTCTGGGTGTACTTGCAGTTGGGCGCAGCTGTCGTTTCTACACCCCTGGTGTCAAATGGTTCTGTCCTTGTGACTTGTAAATCAGATTAAATTCCTCTCTGTGTAGAATGGAACAGAACTGTAGGCTGGAAAGGTGTCATGCTTGGGACTACACACAATAGATCTCAGATTAATGATAATCAACGTTTGCTGGTATGTAGCAGCAACACACAGGGTTAAGATAAGTCAAGTTAAGAAACTCATTTCTCTTCTGCTTTACATTCATAAAATGAAGACAAAGGGGAAGAAGGTAGCTCAGGCTTAGTGTTCTGATATATTAGGCTAAAAAAATGCCATTTGTGATGTGAATAACACACACAAGTAAGAACAGAACTCAAATTAAATTTCTGGTATGTTAGGCTAAAAGAATGATGCTGTGATGTGAATATCACACAGACTCGTAAGTCAGCAAGATATTTCCCTGTGTCCAACTTATATCGCTTAAAACCCTGTATCTGCCTATTAGAAAAAAAAACATACATATGACGATGACAAATTCCTGTTATCCATTCAGCTACTGAAAATAAGCCCTTATTGAAAGCTCATTACAGCTTTCAATAAATGTAATTTCATAAGAAAAGTCTGATGCATGTTTATCACTGTCTTCCTATGGCGGGTGACATATGCCTGATGGGAAAGGTGAGTCAGTGAAATTCTGAACTGCTATGAACAATGAGTTCATAGCAGTTCTACATGCTCTACATGGAACTTAACCCTCTCTGATTTGCCACCTGTGCCCCACATCTTTCACTCCCATTTGCTTTACTGTCATCCATTTGAACATCCCTTTGTGCTTGATGTGCAAGTTGCACAGTGCTGCAAGGACTGAGCACATGCATGCTAAGGACAGTACCTTGTTCAAGCATCCATCCCATAATGCTCACATAACATCTGAGAACTTGCAGTGAGTCGGGTCCCGAGCTGTCACTTGTGATTCAGGTTTGGGGAGTAACCATGTGGTCTTGGTGCACTGAAAGTCACTGATATTTTTATATTCTTCCCTTCTCAGAACTGGGGGAAAAAACATGAGTTCTTCAAGTACAGAGTCCCTTGAAGTCGAACTCTCAACCTTTTATGACTATTATGATAGTTATTACGATGCTCCAAAACTGTGCAGTAAAGAAGGCGTCAGGAGGTTTGCAGCCTCCTTCCTACCTGTTCTGTATTCCCTGGTATTCCTGGTCGGGCTCGCTGGAAACATTCTGGTCATCGTGGTCCTCTTCAAATACAAGAGGCTGAAGAGCATGACTGATGTGTACCTGCTAAACCTCGCCATCTCAGATTTGCTCTTTGTTTTATCCTTGCCATTCTGGTCTTATTTCACGGTAGACCAATGGGTTTTTGGAACTCCCTGGTGTAAAATCATTTCGTGGATCTACCTGGTTGGGTTTTACAGTGGGATATTTTTTATTATGCTTATGAGCATAGACAGATACCTGGCAATTGTTCGTGCAGTGCTTTCCTTAAAAGCAAGGACCACCTTCCATGGCTTGATTACTAGCCTTGTGGTGTGGCTAGTAGCTCTTTCAGCCTCAGTCCCTGAGCTTGTATTCAGAGAGTCTTTTAATGAACATAATTTTACTACCTGCAAGCCGAGATTTCCAGGAAATTTCACAACATGGAAGCTTTTTTCCACCTTGGAAGTCAACATTTTAGGGCTCCTAATCCCTTTTATAATTATGACATTTTGCTACTCCATGATCATTAAAACATTAGTTCACTGTAGAAATGACAAAAAGAATAAGGCTGTGAAGATGATTTTTGTTGTCATGATTGTATTTTTCTTTTTTTGGACCCCCTACAACATTGTTATTTTCTTACAACTGCTGGAATTTATGGGAGTCATTAAAGACTGTCAAGTGAGCAGGAGTCTGGACTATGCTTTCCAGGTAACGGAAATCCTCGGCCTTTTTCACTGTTGCCTCAACCCAGTCATTTACTTCTTCATGGGGGAGAAATTCAAGAAGTACCTGAAGATGCTCTTTAAGAACTGGCAGTTACCAGGTTATTTCTGCAAGTGGTGTGGCGTTCACACCACTTACCCCGCCGAATCTACCAGTTCATTCCACACACAGTCTACAGGGGACCAAGATGCGTTGTAACACATCTGACAACAGCAGGAACTTTGAAAAGCAGGAACTTTGAAAAGCTAAGCAAATGCAGACACATTTAACAATAAGCTAGTGCCAGATGATTACTTACTTCAGCTTTATTTGTGCCTCTAGATTTTCTGAGTATTATGACAGAAGGTGTCCCAAATGTGGAACATGGAGGATGGACAAGCAAGGTTTCTCTGCTGTGATTACAAATCACTGCTCAGCTCTGTGCAAAGCACTGCGCTGCGTGGCTTCTTTTTCAGCACCATCAGGGCATTGGCCTGCATGGAGTGGCAGAGGTGAGACAGCACCTTGTCATCAGCACATGCACTTGGAAAACATAGCCATGTATTTAAAAAGGATGATTATAATCATACTTTTTTATTCTGTAGTTGATCTGTGTAGGACATGTTCACCCATGACTCTTAGGCAGATATTAGCAGTACCTGCTACATTTAAATGTTTTGTTTCGGGGGGGGATGATATATCCCCTATCATTAAGAAAGAGCACAAAATGTATTCTGTAAGTGCACAAAGACACAAAGCAAAACCATTACTTTTCATTGTAGCTGTGTTCACTGTGTTTTCTCTCAGGTTGACATATATGCCTATATGTAGGTGTATATATAGGCATTTTGAATTACTTTATCACTGTAATTCAGGATAGCAATTCTGTATTTTAACTAACACAGAAAATGTTTTGAATATTTTTGAATAAAAGTGTTTAAAAAAACTTATTTCCAGCATGCATGAATAAATTTGAAGCATCTTGGTTAAAAGTATATATTTTAAAATGAATGTCCTTTCTTCCAAAAGTACTTAACCCCAAAACTCAATTTTCATTCATTGAGATGCATCTGGCAAAACAAAAGAAAGTAAAAACAGAGATTGTGTAAAAAGGGTCTGTCATAACTTAGAAACCACACATAGAATCCGTGCATTTGATAACAGCCAAATGCAAACTGTGTGATTTCCCCGTAGCTACTCACAGGATATTATATATAATCAGAAATCTGTAACAGGAAGGAAACTCACACAGCAGTGTTTAGATTTTGGCACAAAAATGATTTTAAAAGAGGCCAAAAAAATCAGTAATGTGGTGGCAGACAAAATAAGAGTTGAAAAATATGGATTAGAAGATATTTCTGGTGTGTCTTTTTGCTGGCCAAAAACAATTCAGATCACTTACTATAAACCAGATGAATTATTTTCTTACACTGTTAATAATGAAGTGCCTGCTCAGCATTCAGCCAAAGCTGCAGAGAGCAAACAAGGCATTAAAATGCATCAGGAAAGGGCTGAAGAAGAAATGTAAAAATATTGTAGTGCCACTGTACTCATCACTGTAAATGAGATATAAGTGGAAGCTCATCTCCATGTGACCTGTCTCATGACACAAGACTGAAAATAAAATGCAGTACACTTAAATCTCTCACACACGTGTATCCATCATAATTTTAGGAATGCATTACCATTTGCAGTTTGCTGAGGATGACAAGCAAGGATCTGCATTAATGCAGATAATAATTATAATAGCTGTGGAAGACATTACTTGAAGTAAGAAAGAACCCTTATTTTCAAGAAGAAGACTATAAATTGTTACTACTCAAAACCTTAGAATCCACTGTGTAATCACTTAGGAAAAATGGATAGAAAGAGTGGGTTACACCACCCCTTTTTTGAAAAGGAAAAGGAAGACAAATTCAAGTGTGAGGTGCTTCAAATTCTCACAGATGACACTGAAGCCATCATAACATCCCAAGGTGGCACGGCACGTCATCCTCACAGCAGGTGATGCTGATAGCAAGAGGCATTGTGAACTGCTGAGATATGCACTTGTTGGTGCGCAGACTAACCTGGAAGCCAGACAGCTTCCACTGCAGCTTCTTTTTTCTTTGTCCTGCTCTGTGATCCCTCTAGGCAGCAAGAATGGTCCTTGCTTTCCAGACTAAGGGAAAGGCTGCCTGTGCTGGCCTGGCAAAAATGAGGGTCAACAAGGAACAAGCAAGCTGTAGGCTCTTGACAGCTGTGATGTAAGAGACAAGCAGGGCAAAGAGTGGTATCAGGGAATGGCTTGTAGGCTACTCCAGGTCTGGGCAAACCCTGTGGTGAGGGAGGATGCTGTGGAATTAAGGGGGTGCATCCAGTAGCCACGCAGCAATGCCACAAACAGAGCCAGTGCAGAGCCCTTCTCCCACATGAAACCCAAATGTGTCTCATGTCACAGCTTGGCTTTGTACCCTATGCCTGTGCACATTTCCCTTGGTGCAGAGGGTGCCTGGTGCAGCCAGAACTCCTCCCAGGCAAATGTTGTCTTGTTCCTCTGTGCCATATAGCCTCTTCCAGCTGTCCCAGTAATATTCACAGCTGCTCAGTGCATGTGCTGGATGAGCAACTGAGCTGAGCTGAGCTGAAAGTTGAGCTCAGCAGCTTTGCTGCATTGGGTGCAAAGAGGAGCTCATGTTAAATTGATGGGTTCAGGAAATCAGGTCCTGAGGCTGGAGCTCATTGAACATGGGTGGCTTCCTCCTCTGTTACCTAAATAAACCCCCCCTCCCACATGCACCAAGCTACAGTGGACAATGCCACTCCTCTTTTGAGAGAGGGCTTTGAAATCTGGTGATGAGAAAGGATGAGATTATAGCATTAATACAGACAAAACTAAAGTAGGGATTTTCAAAATGTCACTTGATAAAGGTGTTATTTTAGCTGAACAAGAGTTTCCAGCAATGAAGAATCTATGTACCAACCCACTGAGCCATGAAATTTGAGTGAAGACAAAGACATTTGAGTGAAGCAAAGCTGACTCATTCTTAAAGCCACATTTTTACCTCAATAATGATGAAAAGATAACAACTCGATTGTTTTTTCATTGGTGCTTAGGCCACCACAGTCACTCCCTAAATAAAAAGCTGAATTACGCATTTACTCTGGAGGACAGTTTTACCCCTTTTAATCGTGCAGGAGCAGCACTGTGGTCTGCAGCTTGCTCCCAGTCAATCTGCTCCTCTCAGTCTGAGAGGCAGTGAGGAATCACAATTCTCTTTCCTAGACTGCAACTGCTTGTCACTGTCCCAGCTCTGCACACCTGCTCTGAAGGGGAGTACAAAACTGTCAGCACGGATCTACATGACTCATTTTCCTGCAAGAGCTCTTAATTCTTTGCAGTGTTATCCAATATCTCTCTCCTAACACAACCAGAAACATCTCTATCTGATTTGATTTACAGTTAGAAATCAAGGGCCATTTAACAATATCAATCAAAATAATCATTAAAATAGTGGTTAAGGCAATGCCTACTGAAAGTTCAACTTTGCTACTCAAGTCATGAAAGGAGGAGACTGGAAATGATACAATAGTGGTGAGATTTGCAGCATTTGTATAACTGATGAGACCATTCAAAGGAGCAGGAGTGGTGGTTGTATCTGCAGTCATCTTACTGTGACACAGCAAGTGCCAATGGCAATCACGGAGAAATCAGTCCTAAAGCAGTGAGCCCTATCACGGAGGATACACCAAGTTAGAAGCTCCCAGGGTGCTTTTCTTTCTCACAGTCATCCAGCAGCAACATCCATCACAAAAAGGAACAAAATCCCATCTTATGGGACAGTTATTGAGTCAAAGACAATTCTCACAGAAATGAAGCTCAAAAACAAAGAAGCTCTTTATCTGTTCCAGGTCAACAAAACTAAATCCTCCGTGTTAATGCAGCCCAAATGATTGATGAATGGATTACACTCCTTCAGTGTTTGTACTTTTAAAATTTATTTTTTATTTTTCAAATCATGATTGAAGAGTTGAAGTTTCACTGGGTTTTAACTTCTTGTTTCAAAACAAGTAACAGAAGACATCCAGTATAAGTAGCTCTGTAACCGCATAATGCAAGCTCTTTGTAAATTCAAGTGTTGCAAAATAAAACTGCTAAGGCACTAAGAATTCTTTTAAATTCCAAGATTTTTGCTTGCTTGCATTTCACAGTAGCAAGTAATCAAGAATCTGATATGCAAGAATCAGATCTTTTTCTATAGATACAAAACACTCATAAAAAGTACTCTTGGTGATGTAAGACATGTAAGACAACAGAGACTGAATGAAGATTGACATGACTAAATGCACTCTTCTTCTCAAGGGAGACTAGTGGCATACAATCAGCATTTTCTAAGAAGGTTCAAGCAGCCAAGTTCAGGAAGAGATTTTTGTATCTGGGACAACAGATGGATATCCCTGCATGAAAAGGATATTTGTTTCTGTTGCACAGGAACTTTGCACTCCTTAAAGAACCTCTATAAAAGTACTGTGGTTTGGGCAGGACAATGGAAGAGAGGGGCCCTCCCCTGCATTTAACCTGTCACTACTACTCACAAAATGAGAGAGTAGGGCTGGCTCATAGTAACACAAATGCATCTTAATCAAAGTGAGGAAAGACCACAACACATCTCTCTACTTGCTTATAACTAGTAAACTGAAATTTGACCACAAGCAAGACCATGACTGCAGGCTGAGTGAGTGACTTGCCTTTTCTGCTATCAAAGTATGTGGGAAAGCTGCAAAAAGTGCATAGAAGGGATAGAAGGATGGATTTTGCTGTTGCTTACACCCTTTTTGCTCATTCACAAGCACTTGGGAATGGAAAGAAAATGTGTCTGGTTGATTGCAGGGAGCAATGACATGTTCTGCAGGCTCTGCAGACAAACAGAACTGAGAAGCTGCAGAAAACAGCTCTGCCCTTGCTAGGAAGAATCTTGTTTACACTTTCTAGAACAGTGAAACCCATAGTATGAGGTTTCACACAAAACTCCTCAGTCCTACAGAGAAAGGGCTGAAGGGTTTACTAAAGGAAAGATTCTGGCTGTTTTCTCCTCAGTTCTTTTTTACCAGCCCATCCTTGCACAATGCAGGTCACTACTTGCTTCCTTTCCTCAGAAATATTAGGGAACCTCAAAAATCTCCCACGGGAAGGTTGGAGCCTGTCTGCTGCTGCTGCTCTGGCTTTTTGCATGAACCTCACACACCACCACCTCATCTCCACAGTCACACAGAGTCAATCCATTCACTTCCTCACTGGCTTAAGCTCACGTTCTCTGTGCACAGAGGTCACACAGTGCGATGCCCATCTCGTCACAACACCGCAGAGTGTTTTCTTTTTGACAAGGCAGTTCCAAGAAGATGTCCCAGCTCATTGCAGGGGAGTTTGACTGGATGAACTTTAAAAGTCCTTTTCAACCCATACACTTCTGTGATTCGAAGAAAATATGGAAAGGGCAAATTTTTGATGGTAGGTGCACTGGCTAATGATAAACACCTTTTAGCCTAAAATTTCCTCTACATTTTCATTTCATCTCCACATTAAAACACTTTTAGAGTAAGCCAAGCCTATTTGTCTACATTACTTCAATAGAGTATTTAATTAATTCTGCTCTGAATTCTTACTATAATTTCATTCTGATGGGGGAAATAATTTCGTAAGTCCTCACATAACGAAAAATTGTAGAAAAAAGGACTTGTCTTATTTAGCACACCTAAGCATATTAAATAGAATAAATCTACCATATTGCCAAATAAGTAGCTCATTACACAAATCCATAGAAATGTACCAGACCGTAGGGAAAAAATCTAGCATTAGAAGCAAAATTTCAGTAAAGTGATGAGTGCTGAAAACTACTGGAAAAAAATAGGATTTTTTTAATGTGCTTTTTTTTTTTTTTAATCTACTGCCTATAGTGTAAAAGACTACAGCATTTTATAGACTCTATCAACATGAGACTATGAATAGAATTTAAAC